ATTAACTAACACAAGCTGGACTAGTGAAGATGAATCACCAACGACTATTGTTCACCAAAATAAATTTGAACAACAAAAACTTCATTTTCGATATTCTTTAAATCATATAGTTCTGTTCTTATACATAGTGTAGATAAAGGCAAGACTATATCACAACTATTATCTTGAGTATTGCCTCAAACCTGTTGTCAATGCCATATGTAAATAAAGAAAGTCATCGGATGCGAAAAGTGTAAAATTGCTTCATGACAATGCCCGAGTTCATACTCATTCAGATGTTATTAATTATGTAACACAAGAAGATGTCAATATAATGCAGCATTAACTACTGTCATCAGACGTAATGCCATGTCATTTTTGGTTAAATGAGTCTATCAAGAGTAATTGATTGGATCAAACAAAATGAAGAATCATTGACTCGTGTGGTTTCCAAAATAGTTAAATAACATTTCAGAATTCCAGGCGGACAGACATATCGATTTTTTACTGCTTTTTTTTATCCATTTGTATGTACAACTGAGTTACATTTATACAGAAAATTGGTTAAAAAATTATTGTAATCAAAAATTGTCCATGGTATCTCAAAAGTTTGAGCATCTATGGGCTAAAATTTTTCACTCAACTTTTTTTATACCAAATTAGATTCAGTTTTTCTTTGAGAATTCACTTTTATTAGCTATTTACTTTAACCAGAGTGATAGATATCCATTCTTTTTTTTTTCTTTCTATAATTTATTCTAATGCTAAAAATATTTATTTCAATTGAGTTAGTGCAATTTGTCTAATATATTTTTTTGTAATTCAGATTATAATGAGGAATTAATGCACGAAGGAAAGGGTTCTAAATCCCCAAAAGTGGAATTCATACTAGTTATAATTCTGAGAAAAATTATGAAATCTACTATAGATGAATGCTATACGTCTACTCCATATCGACATGTAGGTGCAAACATTCATCGTAGCAAATATTTTAGTATAATTAAACAGCTATATACTTTCGGATATATTTAATCAAAATATAAAAAAATACATTTAGATTGATATTGAATTCGAAAGTTACTTTCTACGAGCAATAGATCAGTTGATAAATATTTCATTTCTCAAATAGAAATTATTATCATAGGTGAGTTTGACAAGCATTATCCAAACAGAGTATCAACGCAACACTTATAACCCTACTTCCAGTAACCACATAATGACAGAAAACGTCAGCTTATTGGTTAACAGAAGTCTATCCTTTTTTTTTCTTACACATAGTTAATTTGTAGTAATAGAAAATAGATACATCTTACATCATATATATATATATATCATTTTTCCTATTGAATACTCAATTCATGAAAATAGGAACATGAATAGTTCTTTTTTAATGTAAGTTCATTTTTCTCTATTTAATCAGTTGAAGAGGATTTTGGGTTTTTATGATGAGTGTGTTTCAGTGGAGAAGAGGGCGATCAAGATCAAAGAATATATTTTGAAACTCATGAAAATTATTATCAGCTTATTTTTAAGTCTTTTTCTATTAAGAAAAATCTTTTCGGAAGAAAGCGATCACCCCTCAAATCCATCACTACGTTTAATATTCAATTTTTGGAGATAGAGAGATATTTTCTTTCTTTGTTATTGGGCTGTAAATACATAAGAATAGAGGAACAGATTGCTTTTTACTAATCATATGCACTTTTTATGCAGCCAGTTTGTAATAATAGAGGATTGACATTGCTTGTTTACAAAATGTAATTCATTTTCAGTGTGAGACAGAGATTTATTACTTAATAAAATTCTTTTTTTTTATCTAACAGCCAATTCATAGGAATAGAATACACATACCTCTTATTAAAATATATGTACTAATTTTTCTATCAAATATATATATATATCTTTCTTAACGCAAAGATATTACTCTTCAAGTAATCATAACTTTGTAGCGATAGAACATAGACACTTTTATCTCTGTACAATTGAATTCACACTGTGATTTCATGTTTACAAAATGTATGTATTTGGACAGCATTAAATTTTATTAATTCTTTTTTTTTTTGGAAAACAATTGGTTATTTTTTTTTTTTGACATTAAGAATTTTGATGCTAAACAAAGTTGTACAAAGAGAACAAATTACATAGAAAATAAGACACAATTTTTTTAAAACTAATTTTGTTCAAAAAGTAACATGTTTATCTACTAGGAAAGTAGAGTTTAAAAAAGCAGCTACAAAGAATGGAACTTTGTAAAAATAATTACGATCATTATTTTGAATATTTAATAAAATTAAATTAAAAATATCTTTTTATTTTTAATTCAGTATTGTTAGAAATTTTAGTCAATCCTAAGTATTAAAAATAATCTTCAATGTTCTTTTTTTGATATTTAGAACTTGAATTTAATGAAAGCTTTTTTGATTGTGAGAATAAGAAATGTAAACAAAAAAGGATTTCATATCATTGAGAATAATATTGAAATATAATAAATTTATGATCATATGTTTTGATTACAATGAAACAAAAATGAAGATGAATATTTATTTATTTATCATCATATTTTTCTTTTTTAAACAATAGAAAACATTAAATCCATAGTCAAAGCTGTCTATGCCAGACATAAAAATATTTCCATTATTCAATATAGATTTGCATATGTCTCTTATGACAAGTATTATAATATGATTATCAGTATAGTACTCCGATTAAGTGTATAACAGCTTTTAATTCAATAAATTCGAAGAATTGATTCAAAAAAAAAAATTTTCGAACTTAGTTCTTCTCATGTAAACTGAATTTCATATTGAGTTTTTTTTTAATATGAAAAGGAATTATTGAATAGTTGATTTTATCTAAGCACTAGGTTTCTAACAGTTCCATTTCCGCATACTTGAAGACTCGAAATAGAAACCAATGAATAGGACAAAATTAGATTTTCATTGAAATTAGATTATGTCAAAAGAACTTATCAAAGTTCTGGTTTATATGAAAGCAATTGGATGATTGAAACCAGTTAAGCTACGTAAATAGAAATTGTCGCATGTTGAAGAGTTCAATTCATATTCTTCATAATAAATAAATAATTTAATAAGTTAGAAACAGTTTTTTTTAAGAAATCTTCTTGACCCTTAATATATATTATTCATATTTTTCGGTACTTAAGAATAATTAAAAGTCCAAAAAGTAATGCTTCCAATATCTCTTACGAGAAACTGATAAATCACTTTTGTGTCGAGACTCTTTGCATTATGTAGACTCAGACGAGTTATGAATATTTTGAAAAGAGTTCATATCTTTAGATATTGATGGTGCATGCTAAAGCTTCTAGAAGTAGCAATAAATTTTTTAAATCAATAATAATAATAAGTTTTCTATTTCAAAACTTATATTTAATAATTTCAAAAATTTTTTTTGTTCTATTTTTGTTTTTCGATACAAATTCAGTTACAATAGTATTTAAATCAATGTCAAAACTACATTCAATGTTTATTACAGATAAACTTAATAATCTCTCTTGGCCTGTTGTGTTACAAATGTATGTTTTAAGTCTTTTTAACGAAGACAAACTTCGTTCACATTCATATGTATTAACTGAAATTGATATATGCTGAAAGTAGAGCCTCAGAAGAAAATAATACAAGTCATATAGTGCATAAACGTTCTTCTAACAACTATCGGAATATGGGTTATTAGGCATAGCAATAATGTTTTATTGCTACCATTAGTTTTCTGTAGAGGTAGAAATTGCTCCTCCTCGCTACTATGACGTGCCGCTTATGCCTTTAGGTTATTGCTACGGAAAAATTGCACTTGTATAGTATGTTGTAAATGAATGCCGTGGTAACAATAAACCTGATTTTTGAATTGCGATTTGAAATTTTGCATAGAGACACACCTTAACGAGAACAGTTTGAAGTCTTTCGATTTGTTTCTATTCTCAAATAAGAACATCAAATCTATCGTTATATATGAGCGATGTAAAAGATACACTATTGTCATAGTTGTATTTTAGAATAGGAACAACAACAACAAGATCTGAAACATTCAGAAAAAAAACCTATTCTCTGTTTCTATGCAAAGTTTCAGATCGAAACTTGAAAATCAGTTTTTCTATAACTATGACATGCACCGTAAAAGTGCAACATGTCCACACCAATAACCTAACGGCATGAACTCTTTCCAGAATATTCATAGCTCATGTCGTTCTATGACATAATCGGTATAGTCTCAATTTAAAAAGCAATTTATCACTTGAATGATTTTCCTCGTTAATTCTTATCGTATGTAAATTAGTAAATTTATAATTGATACTTTGACAATCAATCTTTATAGTCAATGTCATAGAAGATATATTCCAGTTTCTGACATAGGTTCTTTTAGCTTTGAAAAAGACAATGTAATACAATATTCATAATGATTTCAATATTTGATTTCATGTTTATTATTAAAGATAGAAAAGAAGAAGGTGACGTAAAATTAATGAAAATACCATTCTTTATTTGATTGATTGAAGAAAAAAAAAAAAAAAAATAAGAAGTCATGCAAACAAAAGTGTCGCTCATAAATAGACATACTAGCCAACGAAAACATAGTCTTGTTGAAAATAATTGATTTCTTTGTTTCTTTCATATCACTATTTATTAATAAACCTACGCCTCTTCAAATTATGACTCATAGTATTTCCCTTTGATATTAATTAACATGGCCATATGTTTTATGTTTTTGTCAAAGTATAGAAATGACATCGTAGTTACTTTGTTATTTTTGTTTTTTTTATCTAACATACAATGGCTTGTCTATTCTAAGCTTCATTTCGACAAGATGTAAGATGATTGAATAAGTGGGTGGAAATGCCAGACAGACTATAACAGTTATCTATATTAAATAATCAGTCAGCATTAGTTGTATCTGCTTGTCAAGAAAAAAAACGAGAAAATAAAACTATTTCAATTATAGATATATAAATATTAAATAAAGACAATCTTAAGAAATATCCTACTAATACTTTTAATACAATAGAAATGGTTCACAGTCATCATTTTATTATTTTAAGTATTATTGTAAATGTACTTCTTATTATTTTATCGAAATGTAATTCATATCCATTATTTAGTGATTTACCAAGTATGTATTCACTTGATCTAGAATTAATAGATGATTGATGTTGTTGATTTTAGTAGCAGAACGTCCTATAAAATTTCATTCACAAAATTCTGGAGATCGATATTCAAATCGAGTAAGATAGAATAAAGATTTTGTTATTCTTTTTTTTCTCTTTATTATTGAAAATTTACTTATTAAAATTCTAGATGAAACAATATTATGAAACAATGGCACAATTAAAGCATTGGCGTCGTGATATTGATCAATCGAATGAAGATTATGATGAAACATTACGAGGTAAAGAATCAAAAATAAGATTAGATCGATTTCAATAAAAGTTAAACTATTTATCAAATCAGAGCTGGACAAATACGAGTACGTTCTTGTAATTGTCCAGTTCTGTATGATTTATTCACTGAAATCTGAATTATTCAAAAAAGAAAAAAGAAAAAATGATTTCAATAAATCATTTTATTTTTATTTTTATAGATATGTTTGAACGATACAATTATTTGGATTATAAACGTTAGTAACAATAAAAAACAAAAATCACAATTAGAAATACTTTGATTTCTTTTTTTTTGGTTTTAAATATATAAATGTTATACGTGCATTTGTCGTTTTATAGATGCTTATTTCATGTGTTTGTTCATGTTTCATTGAGGATTTAATATACTAATAATTACGTGCTGTAATTATTGGATTTGATATCAAAAATATTTTCGAAATCAAAAGAGAACTATTGAACGAAAGAAACTTGAATAGTTTGTAGCGTATAGTATAAATGTAATGACCCAAAAGCATTTTTAATATTTTATTCAAGAAATTTATGAGAATACAAACAATAATATAGAAATATGTTATGAAAATTATCAAAGCAAAAGAAAAATTTTATTTTAATCAACAGAAAAAACTCTTCTAACTGGAAAATTTCCGAAAATTATTTTAGTTTGAAATAAAAACATCTTGAGTAAATAAATTTATTATCAACATACAAAAAACACATGTTCTTGTAGCATTCAATAATTCATGTTCGTAGTGAATTTATTTTACTAACGCATAAATAAATCATCTAAACCTTATAAAAATTTTGAATAATGAAAAATCCTAAATAAAAATTATCAACAAACATCAATTAACAAGCATGTTTTATATAATTATTATATATCAGTAAGCTGCATCTATAACATTGTCAGTTTACATTTACATCTAAGTCTTATGCTATAATTATCGACTAATAATTGGTAGTTATTTATCACATAATATGCTATTACGCATATACTAAGGAAAATCTTTGTGTATGTTATTCTATCCTGGCAGTAATAATAGATTTAAAATAATCATTATCAATGATTATTATGTGGCAAATATCAATAAATTTTTATGGCACCGTGAAATAATTCAATAGACATTATTATAATGTGTTCATTTTCTAAAATTATTATTACAATGTTAATATCTCAATAATTCATATGATTTTCTATATAAATTAGAAAATTTTATTCCATATGTTTTTCAACAGATGGTAACATATTTTCTCGTATAGATAATGAAATAAAATATTTCGAAAGTTCAATTTGATTTGTTTTCAAGATTTTTTTGAAATAATTATTAAAAAGAAGTTTAAGAAGAATTTCTAGTTGTTATTTGTTTTGTTCAAAATATGTTCTTGTCTGACAATAAATATGCATCAATTAGTCGATGAAAGATAATTTAAGAGCCCTTCGTTTTCGGATGTTAAAATCAAAATTTTTTAGATTTTAGATTTTTTATCGCTAATAGAGCTTCGAAATTTTCTCTGTCAAATACCATATAAGAGCTCTTCGTTGTTAGTTAATCCTTTTATAAAACCCAACACTTGAAATCACTAGGAGAAAAACTCGCACTGCTATTACTCTTTGTATGCAACGTTCTCCTAATGATGATGTCTAAAGGTGTTAATAGCATAGATCCTGGACTTCTAACATCGTTGAACACAGCTAGTTTTCAATCACTTTAGTTCAAGAGAAAAAGTCTCGATACATACCGGAACACTTGTTAAAAATACTGCGCTATTGATTTTACTAAAAAGCTCTAATAGAAAAAAACGTGTCTTTTTAGAGATACACGCTTCGTATTTTGATCTTTTTATTTGAATGGAATGAGATAAAAAGAAACTGAAAAAAAGTAGGGACTTCAAACAGTGTTGAGAGTCTGAGAAAGCAGAGCGATTTTTAGCCTTTGCGAGTCAGATATTGCCTAGAAGGAAGTATTTAGGAACTTGAAGTATATGACAACTTTCACTTCAATCATCAAGATCTGTCTACTCTGAAAATTTCATATATTTCTGATGAATCATTCTTCAAAAACCCTGGAGAGGAAGTTCCCTAGATATTATCTATATTTTCTTTTATTTATTTTTGTTTAATAAACAGTAAAAGCTTATATTTACATTAGTTTTTCAAATATTTTCCAATGACTTTTATCACTCAAATAAACAGTGTGATTCATCTCAAATCTCTGAAAATCTATAGATTGATTATTGTCCAATATCTTCAATCAAATTTCTCTTCTATTTTTTTTTATATTCAATAACAAGAAGAAAATCCACTGGTAAAGGTCTATTTCAATACGGATTTAACTGATTAATATTTATAAAAATTCAGAAATAGCTCCTATACTTATCTTCTTCTTATTATTATTATTAAATCAATACAAAACTCTTCTGTTTTTTTTCTTCATATGACTACGCTTATTAAATCATTAAATTGTCAATTTCTTTATATAAACATATTTTGAAAATAATTCTTTTTTTGTGTTTTCAAGAAAAAAAAAGAAGCCCTTTACAAAGAGATCCAAAACACAGGAAAAAAACAGAACGAAACACACAAGATGTATATTGAATCTATGCTTATAATACTAGATACATTATCTGATAATGGGCGACTCACAAAATGACACAGCACACATATACATACACACATACATACACAAAAGACACATATTAAGAGAAATAGAGGCATCATGGATTGCTACTATATAAGAACCAACATATACTTTTGTTAATAAGAGAAAAGAATGAAAAATATATCACATAAAATAATCGTCGTTTTCATCGAAGTTATAAGATTTCTATATCAGGCGCATTTGAACCTTCTTCAGATGTCAGTGAAAGAGGATCAGGTGATGCCATTGGTGCACGAGCTTCGCGTAATAAATGATAATATCCTAAAACAGGAAAAACAAATAACAGAATTAAATCTTTTAGAAATATCATATTTAATAATCTTACTACATGATTTAATTAAACATATAAATTTTGAAATTTTCTCAGCAAATTTACGAGAGAGAGAGAGAAAAAAACACATCTGAAGTGTAACTTGAAATAAACGACTAGATAAATTTTTCTTATAAAATTTCTCAACGTCTACATAGTTTCATCATGTTTCTTCTTTTTTTTCTAAATAATATATATATACATAAAGACACTTACATATCGAATATTTACGTAGAATAGAATATCGACGAACGACGATAAAATACGGAAGGTGTGCTGATGAATGTGCATGTGTGTATGTGTGTATATACATATAATAGCTTAGTGCAATGTATATGATATGTGTGTAAACAAAATAGGGACTCTGATATAATAAGTTTACAATATAGTTTCCAAAATGGCCACTTCACCTGTACCCATTGTTGATGATGATGTTAATGTTGGACTTAATGTTGTTGATGATGATGTTGTAGGTGGTGATAATGATGGTTGTTGATGCATTGTTTGTAAAATTGATGCATGTATTTGTTGTAAACTTTGTTTAACTAAACGTGATGATGAATTACTACTATTTGGATGATTTGATCGTATTATAGGTGAATCCATTGAAATTATAGTAGCTGATGATGGACTATTTGAATTATTATTATTATTACTACGTGTTAAAATTTCATTTGCTGATGAACATATATGTTGTTGAGGTTTATTATATGTAAATGATTGTGATTTTGATGTTATTGTTGATATATGACTTAAATTATTAAGTTTATCTTTTGTTTGTATTGATTCTTCATTTAAAGGTGTTAAATCGAAAAGTTTGTCAGTACTTATTGTTTGTTGTGGTACTGATGGTGGTGATGAAGCCATTGGTGAATCAATTAATTGATCATTTCGTTGTGTAATTATTGTAAGAGCACGTTTAAATTGTGTTGCTAATTTTTGTTTTGGATTTGAAAGTATTGATGAAATTGGTGTTGATAATGAATCATGATGTTCATAAGGATCAGTTTTAATAGGATCAGTTGGTGCTAATGGATTTGCATTACGTATAGCTGATGACATATTAAACATACTTTTATTAATAGTTTTTTCTAAATTCATTTTGCCTCGTTTTCGACCAACACGTGCAGCTATAGAAAATTAAAAAACAAAAAAAGAAGATGATTTTTAACGACAAGAGAGAGAGCGAGAGAGAGAGAGAAAGAAAAAAAATATTTCAAACACATGCAATCACAGCAAAAAGGGATTCAAATAAATTTATTTTTCTCACATCTTTTGGATTCCTCAACTGGTTCAAATTTGCCTGTATCTATGTTTATATGAATTTTTTTTTTAAAATATGAAAAAAAATTTTTTTTTTAAATCTACTAACCTGGATTTTTCTTTAATGATTGAACTTTAAATCCATTAATACTTAAAATTTCTAATAGTTCAAAACTAAAAATCAAATTGATTCATTTAAAAAAAACAAAAACAAAAAGTTCTCTTTCTTTTTTTTACCGAAATGCTGATACATCTTGTTTTATTTCATTTAAATCATCTTCTGTTACACCTTCAGTTTGATCTTTTTGTTGTCGTTTCATTATATATCGTTTAACTAATTCACGTATGACAGTTTGATATTTTATTTCACGTTCATTGATTTTAAGAAGAATTTTCTAAAAAGAAAAAAAATTACTGATATGAATTCTACATTTATTCAAAATATGATATGTGCCAGAGACCGACATCAGGACAGGACTGTCCTGTTGTCCTGTCCTGTCCCACAGGGCAAAGTTTTTTTTTTCGTCCTCCCCTGATCGCCTTGCAGGGCGTCTATACCATGGCACAGGGCAGGACATGGCATGTTATTTTTCCCTGGTGAATCATTATTAATTCTCAAGTTATATACTATCAGGCAAAATTTTCAATCATTTGTACAGTCACATGAGGCGTCGCTGTAAGTCAATCACGTGTATATTTCATCCATTGTATATCTTAGCGACAATTTTTACGATTCATCTCGAACTATCATTTGTTTTATCTGAATAGAATAGAAACAGAAAGAAGAACAAAGAAAGAATACAATAGCCAGATTATCTATCTTGATAGCAAAAACAGAGACTACCGTATATGTCTGCTTTTTTAATTTCATTTATTACGTTGAACATTTTCATTTGTTTTTGTGGATTTCACTTACATATTCAACGTTTTTCATTGTATATTTATTGATATTGACTAGTTGGTACTCTATTTTCATTTGAATATAGTCATTAGTATCTTGTAGCATTTTTGAAATGATTTAAAGTATGTATAATGAAAAGAAAAAGTGCCTTTAAATCTTCTTCAGGTTATTAGTTTTGTTTCGGAACATAGAACCAATCTAAAACTCTTCAGACCGTTCTGTCCTGCCCTGTCTTGTCCAGCCCTGCCCTGAGGACAGGACAGGAAAACGAAAAATTTCAAGTATCAGTGCCAGGACAGGACAGGGCAAAAAAAAGTACCCCGTGTCGGTCTCTGATATGTGCAGGACCAAATTTTTTTTTCATCTCAGTCCCGATCCATAGTCTTGACTTAGAGAAAACTATTTCAAAACTTATTCATATTAAATCTAAAAACAAATTTTTAGTTCAACGAATGAATATCATTTTTTTTTTGTTCTAACTGGTTGGATAGTTTTTGAACACCGAGTCCGACTGCGGTGTATGTCTATTTATAACATAATTCGCTAAAAAAATCATAGGAAATTTAACTATAATTTTTTAATTATGGTAGCCGCAACATTTTTACTTTATGTCTCCGTACATTCCCAACCATTATCTTTATATCAATACTGTAATTTTCTCGTTTAATTGTTCAATTACATGTCTATCTAACTTTCAATTCTTCAAAAAGGAAACGAGACACATCTGCATATTAATTTTTGACTCAAGAAGGAATCTGTCTAGGTATCAAATCGCTTTCCGACTGAGATAATGTTCATTTAATGAGAAAGAGAAAAATCTACAATGGTTTGATTTTCCAGGTCTTTATTCTCAAGACATCGAATTTTTCGACACAAAGCTGTGGTTCCACTCAAGTTGCTTGGGAACCACAGCTTTTTGTTTAAAAAAAAACCAGTAAAATTTGCGATATTTCAAGAATCAAAGATCGGAAAGCCAAACCATTCTAAACTTTTCTATTATTAATTAGTACTAATCAAATAAACATCATTTCGATCGAAAAGTGATTTGACATTTTGAAAAAATTTCTTCGTAAATTCATTTTATTAATATGTTAATATTCTCTTATAAATAATAATTATATTCATGAAAAAAACACTTATTTAAAAAGAAATATTTACTTTAATACTTTGCCATCGATTTCTTAATTGTTTTTTTGAACAACTAAATACTCGACGATATGTATATCGACAAAAATAAAAAATTGATTTTGGACTTGGAATTATATTAAATGGTGGTGGTAAAGTTCCACCATCTTCAAAATAACTTGTCCAAAGTTTAGCTCTACAATAAATAAAAAGAAAACAAAAATATATATATTAAATTTATTTTTTTTAAACCTTGCAAATTTCCATTCAGTATCTGTTGAATTCTAAATAGAACACAAAAAAAAAAATTTTTTTTCTTGCTGGAGAAGAAACTATTTTCAAATCATACATACAGCTATATATTGATATGAACTGCTCATCATAGCAATAAGCATATTAAGAAGAACAATAATCATTATTGATGAATAAACACCATACATAGTTAAACCAATAAACATAGTAAATGTATGTTTTTTATAGATTTGAAATGTTTGTAAATCAACTAAACCAAATGTACCCCAAAAAAGTGTTTGTAAAGATTCAAAAAGACTAAATAAGAAAAACAAAAAAAAAACCAATGAATTTTTTTGTTTTTACAAATTAATTATATAAATAATATTAAATTACTTTGAAAAATGTTTATGTATATCTTTTGCACAATATTCATCAAGACCTGAATCATGTTCACATTCATTTTTTTTCATTCGTGCATAATACCAAAATAATTGATTAAGACCACATGCAAATGCAAATGCCACAAGTATAATAAGTACACTAAATTTTAATATATCATGTACCATACGTCCTAATGATATTTGTAATGGTCCTAAATGTGGATTTATTGTAAATATATAAACAAGTTTAAGTGAACTAAATATATTAGCTGCAGCAAATATTCCTTCAGATATTAATGTTGGATCCCATGCATTCCAATCTCGTCGTCGAACATTATGACCTGTTGATATATCACCTGTATCCGATGTTAAATTAGGATGAGGAGAATGATGAACACCTGATGATGCAGGTGCAACATGATCAACTAATTTATCATGTAAATCACGTTCTTCTCGATTTACCTATAATTAAAATAATTTTTATTTTTGTAATTACAAATTTCATTAACAGAGAAACATTTCTTTTGATGTCAAATCACTTTTCGACTGCAACGATGTTTAGTGCTAGAGAGTAATAGAAAAAGTTTAGAATAGTTTCGTTTTCCAGGCTTACTTACATTCATCAAATAAACATTATCTCGATCGAAAAGCTATTTAACACTTCGAGAGATCCCTTCCACTCTTTTTTGGCTATTTCTGGTTCTTGAAGAGGATATAACGGATCTGTACGAAATTTTTACCATAAGATAGAGCACATAAAATAAGAAGACATATGTTTGAAAAAAATTTTGACAAGACTTTTGCAGTTTTTTCGGAAAAATTCTGATTATCTATAGATCCACTTATGACTCCCATCTAACTTTGTCCGATCGGGCTTAAATTTTGATCACAGATACTTGGAAGTATTCTCTAGAGGTGAAATCGACCATTTTCTTTTCTTGATCTTTCTATCCAGATTTATAAAGATTTGAACATCAACACTTTCGATCCGAAACTTTACGTATTTCTCTTATAAAAAAGGCAAAGAAAGTCAGATTTTTGAAAAAAAAAAGCTTAAAATAACTTCTGAGATATAGTTAAAGACAATTCAAAAAATTTTCAACCCAATCAGACAAAGTTAGTTGAAAGTCGTAAATGGAGTCAATATGGTCCGATGGAAAACCAGGATTTTTCTGCAAAAATTTTATTTGGAATTTTTTTTCTGCGAACATCTGTCTCTTTATTTTAGGTTCTCTATCTGTGGTAAAAATTTTATGCAGATCAGTTTTTCCCGTTTCGACAACCAGAAACGATTAAAAGAAAGTTGGATACCCATCATTTGTTTAAAACTATCATTGTTTTTTTATGGTCTTACTTTAATATATGCCATAATACGAAGAACTATTGTTGCAACATAAAGACAATTAGTTATCCAATCTAGTAAATTCCAAGTATCCGCCTATAATATATAATAATATAATATAATTTGAAATAGAACTCTCTTTTTTTACCATATATTGATGCAGTCCTTCTTGATACAATTGTTTTATTTCAGCCCAAATAAATCCAGCAACATAAATCATAATCTAAAATTATAAAAATTTAGAAATAAAATAAGAATGATAATTAATTTATATCATACAGCTAATTCAACTGGATTTGGTGGTGGACCACGTCTCTCATTAGCTTCTTGTTCAATACCTGATAATAATTTTCCAAAATCAATTCGTAATGAAACAACAAAAAGTAAAACTAAAAAGAAAGAAAATTTCTTTATATTTTGTATAAACAGAGGCGTAACTCAACAATGAAGGCACAGAAGCAGCAGAGTCCTAAACAAAGAAGTGTACTGCTTAGACAATTTTCAGAAGCAACGAGGGTTTTACGTCATGCCCTCCATAAGTTACGCCCCTATATATAAATAACATACTAAGAAAGAAAATATATGAAACTGAATGACATATAAATTTAATAAATGGTTGTCGCATTATTCGACCAATACTACTTCTTGGCATTATTAAATAAGCAATAGATAATATCGGACAAAGTAAACCAACAATAGCTGTTATTAAAAGTTTAATCACCGAATGACGACGTCGAAAGCCAGGTAGACCTTCATACCACAGAGAAGCAAGTAATTGTTGACAATGTGAATGTGAAACAAACTTAAACAAAACAAAAATTTTTAAAAATTTTTCTCAATTTAAATTTTCGTTTGTTCTATTTTTTTTTACTTTCTTTTGTTTATAACGTATAGCTAATTTTAATCTTGCTAATGTCATTTTTTCTTTTGTTTCAGAAACCACCGGTGGATTTTCTGAATCATAATTTAATATAATTTCTAATTCTTTTGATGAACGTGTTTCAGCTAATAAAGCAGCACTATACTCTTGACATTGTTGTGCTAATTGTTCATATTCTTGTTTAAATTCATTTTCAATACGTGATAAACGTTTTAATTCACGATTTAAATCAAATGCTGTCATTATTGGATCACGACTTGATAATGATATATAACATGGTGATGATAATGCTTTATAGGCATTTATACGTGATCGTGAATGTCTTAAACTATCTTCTTTATTATATACATTACAATTTGCACAATTACAACGAACATCATGAGGTTCAGTTACTTTTTCACCTATAATAATAACAAAAAAAAAACAAAAAAGAAACATCAAGTTTATTTTTAATCTAAGACAAACACATATATAAATATGTTGAATGTTCTAATTCGAAGAATCAAAGTCAATAGGACTTTAATTTCGAAATAGAATTTCGAATGAGACGGAAATAATGTCCCATGGAATCTATTGGTTTGTTCCATCCTATTTTATAGAACAATTTGTCTAATATAAAAATTTTTTCAAATCTTGAATTGATTTTCTTATTCTATCATCTGAATTTCCTTCTATCAGTTTCCACATAGATTTATTGAACTTTGTCAGGATTCAAGATCTGATATTTCTCTTATGATATTTTAACGCTATGTCTGTAAGTATTAAAAAGTAATAATAGTACTTCTCACATTGTTTTATTCAGCGTGGGAATCGAGTGGATGGTGCTCTTCCGAAAATAAGATTGGTTCTCCTATTTTACTATGAACTATGTGTTGTCTAGATGTTCACCCTCCTGGACTTCTAAATAATACTTCAGAAAGAGAAAATCTTAAACACACTAAGGCATACGATTGAACATGAAGCTATTATTGGACAATCAAGAACAAAGTTAATATATGTATTATAAATGTCAATTCATAAGAAGCTGAAAATACTATTTATTATGAATTAAATGTCTCGGGAGATTCTAAAATGGCTCAAAGTAAAGTAGATATTTATTTGACAAGACGTGTCAAAAAAACATGTATTCTTTTGAGATTAATTTTTACCGGCTCACTCCTTCCTTCTTTTTGTTTTTCTATTACTATAAAAACATGGGATTGATGTTGCTTTTCCCTACTCAATAATGTGATCAAAGAAAAAACAAAAACAAAGGTCTAGTATGTCGTTAAATCTTCTTTCTCTACCACTCAGGTGTTTGATTAATCAAACAGTCCTAAATAAAGATATGAACACTTAGTGAATCAAACCACATCATTAGCATATTAAACAGACTAATACTCTAAAGTTATTTTATTCGTAGCTCTTCTTGAACTGCTGTGGAAAGTAAACAATTATGGTTTAGTATAATTCATTAGGAATTTCTGTCTATCTATTATTTTTCTTTAAACCAAAATTTATCAAAAAAAAAAACAAATATGCTGAAAATTATTTTGAAATAGAAATAATAGAGATTGCTTATGTATTGCATTAAATCAATGGTTATTTTTTTGATTCTTTAAATCTCTATAAAAATATTTAAAATTGTTTTTCTATTAAACGAAAACCTACAACAAGAAAGTCAATGATCCTATTATCCATCATATCTATAAAGTACCTTGAGTACATATGTCATCAGATAGAACTTGCAGTTTTTTTTGTTTATGAGAACAAAGAAAAAAAAAGGAAATCCCATAGGATAAACACAAATTATTTCATCTTGTTCCTATGGGGGGAAAGATGAAGAATCAATGAATAAAGAAAAATCTTTTTTTTAATTTTTGCTATATTTACAATAATTACTCTTGAATTATTTTTTAATCTAATTTCTAAAAGTTAACAATACAACAGTTTTTAATACCTCTTTCAAGTAGAATTTTAACAATTTCATAATTATCTCGATGTGCAGCCAATATAACAGGTGTTATATCTGGTGTATAAGAACGAGATGTACTTAGATTAAGTTGTTCAGTTACCTAGAAAAAAACAAACATACATAAAAAAAAAAAGAAGATAAGCAAAGCTTAATTTGAAATCAATATATACAAAATTTTTCTATTAATTATTTAATTATTATAACACACGCACACGAACAAACATATAATCATTACTGACGGGTTTTTACTTATAAATAAGCTACGTTAACGCAATGAATTTTAAACTATTCGTTATTAATTATCTACTAGGTACTTTTTTTTGCTAGCATCTCTATAGGATTTATCAACATGAATATAACTTATTATTATCGTGCTAACTGAAAATTAAAATTAAAAAAAAAATAAAAAGAAAACTAAATACTCCAAATAGACACATACACACGAATACACTCATCCACGCACGCATATAAAACACAGGCTCTTTAAAATGTTTTTATATTTGAACAAAAAATAAAAATTGTTTATTCTTTTTCCTTGTTTTTAAAGAATAACCGATTCATTAAATTTCTTATTAAAGCTTGACGTAAAAAAAGGAAGACAACAACAAATGTAAGAATAGCATATGTGAAATATACATTGAAAGACAATAAGTGAATATGTGTGTAATTAAAAAGAGTAAAGAGCGTGTGCATGTGTGTGTGTGCGTGTATGTGTTTTAGCAGTAACAACGGTTAATTATAAGATAATTTAATCCATTCATGCACGTCAAAAGTGTAGAAAAGGAAAAGATAACGAAATTTAGTTGTTCTCGCGGTTTTTTTTTAGTGTATATATGGCGATTACGCCTACCGATTGGTCTTTTTTTCGTACTGCCTGTAAGATAAATGACCATTTAGATTTTGGATTCTAAAAACAAAATAAGAAGTCGAAAAAAGAAGAAGAAGAAAAATTGGAAGATAAAAGATATAGAAAAAAAACAAAGGATAAGGTTTGTATGTGTATAATTAAATAATAAATCGAAATGATTAACATGCTTTAAAAACAAATATAATAAATGCAATGAAGAAAATGATTTCTGAACTAAATTTATGCTTGAAATTTTTCGTTCCAAGCAGTGAATAACTATTTATAATATAAGATATGATTGAAACAAGGTTTAGAAAAGGTAGGTTGTATTTGTTGAATTTCATTGCAATAACACAAAAACCCACCTCATAAGTCGGAGTAGTAGTAGTAGTAGTAATAATTTCATCACCATCACCATGTTTTGATGATACATCGGGTTTTGATGAACGAAAGTAAGACCAAGCCGTTTTAAACTATATTTCGTATATGTATAGGATGTTTTGTTTATTTAATACACACATAGATATTTACAAAACAAAACTAATAAACACATAAAAACTTATATCTTACTTTAGTTGAAATATCGTGTGATTGTTGTTGCTGTTCGGTTTTTTCTTTGTCTAATGCGACTTGGGCCAATGTGAATAATTCATTCGTTTTATTATTAAGACACTATATATTAGGATAGAATATAGAAAAAAAAATATGTATATATATATACAAATGTAGATCAAATATCGAATTCATTTTCTTTCATTTATTGATAAAATAGTTTTTATGTTTCGAATAAAACAAAAAATATCTTTGGTTTTTTTTAAGAAGAAGTCAAAATATAGACTTATATAAAGAATATTTTGCATAACTAGAAAGATTTCTTTGTTTTGTTATTAAGTCAATTATAATTTTTTTGATTTTATCTGATTGACAATATACTAATATCTATAATTAGCGTATTGTTTTTTAAGAAAGACATGTTTTTAACATTGACTTTTAGGACATTGTCAAGTATTTGAATACATAACATGCGTAAACATCTTATCTTATTCTATCTAATAAGTTGTTAATAATATCTTTCAATGTCAAATATATTATAAGTAAATTAAGTAGAGATGGATCTATTTGTTTGTGTTGTCATTTTTTTTTTGTTAGTATAAAACATATGACAGATGCGAAAGACAAGCGCAACTGATATATCCTATTATTTAAATAAAGACAACTTACTTTATTGTTATCTTCATCAATGCTATTCTTTAGTTGTTGTTGCTGTTGTTGTTTAAGATCTTCATATTGAAGAAGAAGTTCTACAGCTATTCAAATAAATAGACAGTTCATAAAAAGAAGAAAAAGATATAGATATTTATTTATTTGATTATTTATTTTACCTTCAACAAATTCTTCATCTATAGCATGAAGTAATGCTTCACCTGTATCAACATTATAATTAAGTAATAATTCAATCATTTCAATATTTTCATATTCAATTGCTAATTAAAAAAAAACAAAAAAAGATGTAAAATAGAACAAAAAAAAAATTTTTTTTTTTTTTTCTTGATATATAAACCTATTAACAGTGCACTACGACCTAACGGGTCTAAACAATTAATGTTGATTGGTGTAATTGACATGTCAGTATTAACTAATGTTGATGATGTCTTTGACGCCATATCAAGATATCTTCGAGTTGTTGCCATATCTCCACCTATACAAATAAATATAACAATAATCGTTTCATTGTGCTTAAAGTATTCAAGAATAAAAAATTATATTTTTAGCAGCATATGTTGTAGCAGCTGCTGTCAATTTTTTTTGTTTCAAATAAAATAACTATTTATCAATTTGATCTTTTTTCTTTTTTTCTTTTTTTCTTTTTCTTTTCTAAACATTGATTTTCGGATGATTTTCCATCTATAAACATCTTTCTTTCTAATATAATTTTCATGGATAAGATTTCCTTGCCTTAAGGCATTTCCGAATTTATACTGAATAAATCATAACTAAAATTAAACATTAAATTTTGAGAACATTACAAAAGTGATAATTTTATTCTAGTTGAATGCAAACAGTCTATTTTTATCTATATAAAATTCATTTTAATTTCCATTTACGATCATATAATTATATATCATTTATTTTCTTTTTTTGGAAATTTAATTCATTTGGATTTCAAAAGGAGGATTTGTCTAACAACATCATTTTCTTTTCTTTTCTTTTTAATTAATGGTAGATTTAATATATATAAAGAAGTAAATTTGAGAATTTTTTTTGTCATATCTAAATGTCTTCATATATCGGATCAAAATAGATGGAAACAAAGAAGAAAAAAAAAATTATGGGCTTGTCTATCTTTTAATGATTAATAATGAATAGATTCCTCTTGTTTTTTTTTTGTTAAAAAGAAAAGGATGAAGGCAAATAGAAAAAGAGAGAGATAAAAAAGAAAGGTTGACATGTTTTTTCCTACTAAGTAGCACTTTGATTACGCATCGTAAAAAAAAATGTGTTACTCGATGTAATAACATAAGAAAATTGCACTCTTACGTTCAACAGCAACAAGATATTTTTTTTCATCTTGTGATAATTCTGGATCTCGCCTTAATTGCGCCATTTGTTGTGCATATGTTTGTGTTGTAAACGAAGAAGTATTACCAAAATCAGCAAATGGTTCATTAGATGAACGTCCCACTAACTGTTCTGCTTTACGATAATCTTTCATAAGTCGTTGTATAGCTCGCGACATGTAAATTTTGTCAAATAATATATTATAATAATAATAGTAATAATAAATGAAAATAAAATAGGCACACACAGGCACAAAAAATATCTATGAACTATACGATCATATGTAGATTTAAATATGCTAAAAAAGAATTGAAATCGAAAATAAAAAAATAAAAATAAAAAATTTTGTATAGTTCTTATGTGTTTTGACTTTATAATATTCTGTCTTGAATAGAATGAGAACAATAGAGAAGAAGTCAAAAAAAAAAATAAGAAGAAAAGGAAACAAACTAAGAGAACTTATTTATATGATTCTGAATAGAAATTGAGAAAGAGGAGTGGTATTAGTCAAGATTCTCTTCTAACATAAGACAGCGTGTCTTATATGTGTGAGTCTGTCTAAAACGAACGAGCGAAATTCAACGATAGAAATGCTGTAAATAATAGCTACATTTGATTTGTTTTCGGATCGTCGTCGCCCTATAATCATCAACGCGTGTAAGCATGCGAACAACACAACGACTTTCCTTATGCTCGCTTGCGACCCTACACATAGTGCGCATCTTACGCTTTTGTCGTTCTAATGAAATTCTTTATGTGTTCTTCGTTCTCCTTTTCATCATCTTCTTCTTCTCCCACTCTCTGTCTTTCTCTTATTCTACAGTTCCCATAGGCGCTGACACACTAACTAAAAAGCAAGTGCTACCGATACCGTTCGCTTGTTGCTTGTAGGCGATGTATTCGTCTTGATTTTCTTTGATCGATCTTACCCCATCACTCAATAGTGAAGATGATGACGAGAAGCGCATAAATCGTTCGCAACATTTTAGTTTTTTTTTTTTTCTTCTTCTCTTTATCCTGTTTTATAGTGCTAGTACTTTTTTTCGTAGTATAGTAGGAGTAGTGTGATGATTAGATGTCGACAGACGATAATAGAGATTTCATCGGGAATGCATACATATAAAGAAAACTAGAATGAGCTATTATTATCATTACTATCATCATAACCTTTACATATTTTTTTCAGTTTCATGTCAACTATCAGACAGTACATAGGTAGTGATTACTAGAAAAAGAAAAAAGTAAAGAAATATGAAGGTAAGAAAAGGAAATGGCAAAAAAAAACGGAAATTGTCATCTCTCACTGTTTTTTCACAAGGGAATGTTGTTGATGATGACGATAGATTTAATGTGTGACGTTGACGAACTAATACTATTTAAAAAAATGAAATAGACTAAATAATCTGAAAAATGTATACGGATACAAAAGACCATATGACAAACAATGGAATTGTTAATGATAGTGTGCAATTTTCTTCTTCACTGAGATCGTTATATCCTAAACAAAATAATTTCTTTATTCTTTATTTTTCTTCACATCTGACTATATTTTTTTGCTACGACCAGTTGGTAGTGACGGTAGCATTAACTGTATGTCATGTAAATATCAACAGTTGTTGCTTATATGATACTAAAACAGCATGCTTTAAAATATTTTCGAAAAATGATTAGATAGACTATTTTTGTTTTTCTTCTGAAGAAGTGAACATGAAATGACATAAGCTATTAAGAATATAAAACATTGACAATCCTATCTTTATCATTGAGATCAATGTTTATTCGTTATATCTAAGTCAGAATATTTATACCGTCTTTTTCTCTTCTTATTTTTCTTTTTTTTGCTAGCTAGATAATATGACTTGTTTGCATTCGCACAACAGACAGATATATTTAGTCAGTCGCGCATACAAGAAGATCGAATCTGCATCTCGTTACTAATTAGAAAGATAGGAGAAAAAAACCGAGAAAGAGAGAGAAAGACACCATCAACGAACGAACACTCAAGCAATATGCTAGACAATCTTTACTTCTCATTTATTTTTCTTCGTTCTTTTCTAGATTTCAATCATCCTTGAAATACTATAGAACTCAACATGAAAATAAGATCGATCAATTCTCTTTTCTTCAATTCGCCTATTGAGACATGAAAAAAGATTATTACTTAACGCAAAAGATAATACTCAATGAATCGGATAAAAAAATACCGATGTATAAATGAGAGAGAGAGAGAGAGAGAGAAATACATACGTCGATAGTCTATTCTAACTTAACAAATAATGTAATATATCATACAATTCTTCTTCGATGAAGTAGACAAGATTTGATAGAAACACAATGTCACTATTCAATAGTAGTTGTCGTCGTTGTCATCATCATCGCTAGTCTTACTAATGTAATGCTTTCATAACTACCAAGTCGCAGAACAAGAAAGATGAGAAGAAGAGAGAAAACGCAGACGCGAGAAAATACCATAAAGTAGTGTGCAGTCGTGTCTAGTGGATGTGTGTGTGTATGCATCATGACAGAATGGCTCCTTCAGACAACTCGTTTACGAGCGTTGACTTCATTGTGCATTCGAAACAACGAGACTGCACATACCCATTCACACATATACTAATCGATGCCATTCAAGACAAAAAAACAGGATAATTGAAAGAAAAGAATAAAGACAAATGTGAATGGATGGCGTTGTTCAGTGATGTCATTTATATTTCAAAACTACCTTAACGAACTATCGATCATACCAGTGTATCTGTCATTTGTATGTGCATGCATGTGGAATCAAACATGTATCTCTGTCAAATGATTAACATATACGAAGAAAATATACGTATATGTATGTGACACAGATGGGACAAATACAAGAAGAACAAGAAAAAACTGAAGACGAGAGAGAGAGAGAAGAAAAAAGGAGCTTTCGTGTATTTGTGTGCAAAAGCATCGATTATATTTTCTTGGTCATTCTCATCTGTAATCGTTTGATGGTGGACGTAGGACACCCGTAGGCTGTAAGATTTAAATGGAAGGAAAAGAAAACAGAGAAAGCTTGGCATTTTGCTGTTTCCTTCCGGTTTTCTATATAGTGACGATGAGACTACAACGACAAGCTAATCGCCACAGGGATTATAAAAAAAAAAGAATGACGGCTGCTCAGCAAAACAAAGGTCCTATAGCTTTATTAATGCCATTTACCATAATCATCATTTATATTGAGTAGAACAGTAGTAAGAATAGTAGAACTAGTAGTACATCAAATTATTGATTTGTTGAATCTTGATGTCATGGTAAAAAAAGAAAAAGCATTCGAGCGAAGTAAATATCATCTTTGAAATATTATCAATTGAGTTCGAATTATAATACATACGCAGGCACACGTGTCATCAATTGCTAATACAGATGAGGAGTTGTTTTTGTTGTTGTTCGCTCCAGATCGATCTCAGCTCGATGAAGAGAGAGAGAGAAACACAGAGACAGAGAAATAAAAAGAGAAGAAAACGGAAAACTCGAATAAACAGATCGGCAGCACTTATTACATATATGCATACTATACTTGACTACTATTGCTGATAGGAGAAATAAGATGAATAGAAAATTCATTCATCGTACTTACTACTTTCCGATATCTCTGGTTTCCGTGTAAATGATTAGCAATAGCAGGAATATATAGCTATTTATATATTTCTCTAACTTTCTCTCTTATGTGTGTTCTCTTCAATATTATTTCCGTTTTTTTTCGATTCCAATAAATACACTTATATGTGTATATTTATATATATATATTATAAATATGATGACGAGCTCCATTTGTATCTATACGAATTAATGAGACAAAACAGATGGAAACACCATTGAAAAAAAACTAAAGCTAATATGTTACATTTTTTTGATACGGAATGAAAAGACTTATTTAGAGATGGTCGTGATAATGGTGATGATTATTGATGCGTTTCGATTAGCATCTATTTAACATCCCATTGGTTATATAAAACAATATAGATAGATTATGAATTTGTTAGTCGTCTATAAAACATTTCTTATGGTTCTTGTTATGTAGAAAGAATGTCTTGTATCAATCATGAAAGAAAAAGAATAAATACTATCAAAAATATAACAATTAATATAATATAGATAAAAAGATATATATAACATTGAACTCGAATTTTGATATTTTCAATTTTTAAAATAATAAAAAATTTAACTAAAATTTTCTTTTTAATTAATTTCTTATGAGATATATTTAATCTAAACAAATAACAATATTCGATATTTATTATGATTTCTACTATCCAAATATAATCTATAACATTTTTGGAATGTACAGTGATGTAATACTTAATTTGGCACATACATATATATCTGATAACACACAATAGATAAGATATTAAAGGTATAGTAGGATTTCCTACAATGCGACGTTAAACAGATAGAAGAATGTATGACATAGCATAACAAAGGAAAGACAAAAATGAGCAGACTATAAATAGATTAATTATTAAGAATATTTTATCTTAGACTACATTTATAAAAAGAGAAAACAAAATAGATTGGAAATATTGTTTGAATAAAGACAAAGAATTTTATTGGTTTTTTTTTTCAAGGCTAAATTTCGTACAATATATTTCTAACAATTCTGAAAGGAATATTTGATATTTCTACGTAGAAAATAATCTTGATAAACATTTAGAAATGATGACTAGAATATTAATTGACTGTTCTTTTGATAATAACACGTAAGCAAACTAGTATTATCTTGATTTTGTACAGTTATCTGTTTTAGACATCATTAGTCTTTCGATAAATTTCCTATATAAATCTATCTGACAGTACTTACATTTCTATCTTCTTGAATATATTTTTAGCTTGCTTACTTTAGATAAACATACTTTAGTTGATTCTTTAGAAGTCAATAATAAATGATCGATCAAAAATTTCATATGTAATAATAATAATAAAGAAAATTTTATGAACTCATTTATCACTATCAATAAATTATCCAAACAAAGAACTACTACCGTGTGAAGTATAACATTTCTGTAGTCTTTTGCGAGTTTGTTTTTCTCTTTTTCTTTTTTTTTTCTTTTTAATACTTTCTACAATGTCTGCATCAAAGGATTGTAATTATCTACTGCTATGATCATGAGAACGGAAAGTCAGAAAATACTCGTTTAAATTCAAGGATAAAATTTCATGATTGAATCGATAACATCCGTTATTTTTTCGATCTTCAAAAAAGCATGTTTCAATTTATTACAGGAAGTCACCGAAAAGAAAAAAAAACAAATTTTTGTAAACTTAGTTTTCTCGAAAGCTTAACAAATAAACATTAATCATCATTCTGACAGCTGTGAATACAGCTGATCATACACGATTATTTGTTGATAATCAATATTTGAAGATTTCCAGTCAAATGAAACTCAAATGGTACCTAGTTTTGATATTGATTTGTATTGGTAAATAATCATTTTCTTATCTCGATCATTGCATATACATTATATAAATATCGATTGATTTCAATTGCATTCGAATGACGAAGAAAATAATATATTTACATAACTTTTCTCTTTCTTTCATTTTATTATAATAGATCGAGTTTCTTTTCGAGGTATTTTTCGAAAAAAAATCTATCATTCTCTCGTTTTGTTTATTTATATCAAATCGAATACTGTCATATTTCACTTTCTTTCTTTCTTTCTATCGTTATATGTAACATACTTTTAATTCTTATATTATAAACATGGATCAAAACACTTCTATATCTATTAGTAATAAAAAATTTCAAATATATGCCGATCATGATCATGGTGATAATAATCATTTAATAAAATCTCATTTCCTAAATCAACATTATTCATTTCGTTTAACATCATTAATTTTTCCTATTCTATTAAGTTTACTTCTTATTATTGGTGCTCTAATTTTAATTCTTAGTATTACTCGATTACATACATGTCATCAACAACAATTAGAACAAACTGAAGCAATTTTAGGATATAAATCTGATAGTCATGTAAGTCAAACAGAAAAAAGAATACTAATTTTTAATCTTATATAATTATCTATTTCTTTTTTTTTTTTTTTCTTGTAGACAAAAACTTGGTTACCATGTGTTAAAACCAATATATCATCATGTGTATGTCCAGCAACATTTATTCATTCATTATCAAATCCATTTCATTGTATTCCAAATTATTCACGCTGTCTTAAGTCATGTCAACATAATTTACATTGTAAGTGTTATAATTTAATTGATCCAAATCATTGTCGTATTGTAACACGTAATTGGATTGAAAATGAATTAAAAGCTAAACCTATTGAACGTTTTCATAATCGGATAAAAAATAATTTATTACAATATACATGGATGGATAATTTTAATTATCAACTTGAACGTTTACTTAGTGATAAACAATCAAATGAGTATTTATTTTTAAGTCCCGATAGACGAACTGGTATTACTATACATGAACAACATCATGATTATATATTAAATGAACGTTGGACAAAAATTGAAATAAATACAACACGACAACATGTTGTTTATACACAATTAGATCCACAAACACATTTAGTAAATATAAAAACCAAAGTTTTGTAAAGAAAAAAAATATATTAAGTTTTAATTTATTTGTTTTTTTGCATAGTGTCGTATGTCATCTTTATATGATAATGGTTCAATAATACAGGGTCCAATTCATACATGTCCAAGTTCATCAATAGTTCCACCATATTTTCTTGGTGTTGCTTGTAATGATATTCTTGTTTTATGGCAAGATTCTTCAAAAATTTCAATTCAAAGACAAGAAGGTTGGACAAATGTGCGACATAATTTTCAATCAATTAAACCATATTTACCTGTTTTATTTGATCCATTTCATCGTTATTATTCATTATATGCTAATTCAATGATTGAAATTAAAGATTTAAATGGTGATATACTTGCACAATTTTTTACAGATATTATACAACCTATAAAATTTGAATTTCTTGATCAACATGGTACAATTTGGATAGCTAATGAGACACATATGCAAACATTTCATTCAACTAATGATCAAATATGGCTTGATTTTTAAGCATTTTTTATTTTCTTTGTTTCTTATTTCATTCAAGTTATTTTTTATGAGTTAAGTTTAAACAAAATTTTTCTTTTCTTTTTCATTAGAATAAAAAAAAAACCAAAAAATATTTCTCAAGATTAATTAATATATTACTTACAAATGAGTGCATATTTGAAGACTCCTATATTTATAACACGTCAATGATGTGTGAAATATAAACTGTCGTACTGTTTTACCTACATATCCGATTACTTATTTCCTTAGTCTTTTTTTCTTTAATGGTTATTTTCATATCCATATTCGTAATTGAAATCACATAATACACTAGTTATAATAGTATATTATTAGAATATATGATTTCATATTAAAAAAAAAAGAAACCATAATTACTTTGATGTTATTTAAAGCCAACAGTAATAAATAATATACAAAACTACGTATTACTTCTAAGTAGACAAATAGAGAACGTAGATGAAGAGAAAACCTTCATATCCACATCTCAAGGTGATATAAAATGCTATTTTTGTAAAATAAATATTTCTTAAAAAAGAAGAACTTATCGGAACAAAAACCGATCTTGATACATTTTTTAACCTACTTATATATCTATGAATGAATAAATATTCGTTTATTTATAGAATTTCAGATATCTTTTTTGTTTTTATATCTTACATAACACAACAAAAGCACACATATATATATCAGTTTAAAATAACCACATATGTTACCCTTTTAAAGGACAATATTTATCTATTTACATTGTTTTTTTCTCATCTTTAATGAAACATCGTTAATAGAATAATAATAGATTTAAACAATAGGAGTCTTCTTGTTTTTCGTTCGAATGTATGATGAAAGACAACATCAATATTTTATTGAATCTATGAATATAACTCTATTTATAGCCTACAGTTAAGAATACTATAGAATGCAAAACATATATTGTTTACATATCATTACTGAGTTTATATTCATAGGTTTGTTTTTGTTTCTCTGTTTTTCTATTCATAATACTTATTAGAAATCTGATTTTGGTCAATGTTCGAGGCTAAGCCTCCTATTATGAACAATTATTTATGCAAAATTTATTTTCACCATAAATGACGCCTATTTATGATTTGAGATCATACTCATAAACAAAAATAGACACAAATATAAAAAAAGAAAGAGACTATAAAGTAACGAAATCGAATTGAAGAATAATAAATAAGCACCGTCGAAAAAAAAAGAAAATAAAAAAATCAATGGTACTAGTAGATATCTGGACAATTGGCCCAATTTCGTTGCCAATATCTTTCATTTGATACCCATACATCTTGTCCTGTTACTGGATGTCTAATAAGACGAAACCATCTAATATATTTAAGAGAAAAAAAAAAAGAAAACATAAATTGCTCTTAATATTGTTATAATATATGAAAGAAGATTTATACCTCGGTTGCCATTCTTCTCGACGTTTTTCCATTGCTCGTCTTGCAGCACGTTGTTTCTCTTCAAGACGATCTTTTTCTTGTCCAGCTAAATCAATATCACCTTCTTCCATTTTACGAATATCTGGACGAGATCGTGAATCAGTTGGTGGTAATGGTGGTCGTGTTTTTTTATCTTCTTCTGTCCATTGATTAAGTGCCATAGTAAATAATGAGAAATTATAATACTATAAAAAAAAAAAGAACAACAGATATTCTTTTAATTTATTTATACGAAAATAAAAGATATTTTTACTTGTGATGCATATTCTAATTTTGGCATAATTCTCCAAAGTGTAAGTGAATTTGGTGGAAGATTAAGTTGTTCATGTGATGGATCATCTTCAGGTAATTCTTCATCTAAATCTGTATTATCAATATCATTAGTAGTTGCTGTTGATGAATTCATTGTTTGTTGTTGTTGAGGATATTTCGATGAATTTTTTATTTCTTTTTTTTGTTGTTTTAAAAATATTTCAAAACGATCAATATCAATTGAATATAATGAATCTGTCCAATAACCATATAAACCACGTACTTTACGTTTTCTAATACAAAAACAAAATTCATATACATATATATATATACACATTAATCTTTATAATTAAAATAAACAAAAAAAAAAAAAGTTCTAATATCTTACTGTGAATCATAAATATAACCTTCAACTTTATGTAATTCTTTTGATGACCATGAATATGGTTTAAAATTTAAAATAGCTTTTATTTTATTTGAATGATTAATTATTTCCATAGTACCATGCTTTATTTAAATAAAGAAGAAAAAAAATTTCGTTGTTGTTTTTTTTTCTTTTCAATCAAAATATATTCTTACATATTCAAACCAAAGTCGTCCAACAACAATATTATGAATTGTACATGTTACAGTTTCCCATGTATAAATTTCGTTATATCTAAAAAAAAGTCGAAAAACAAAAAGAATTTTCATAATGCATTTCTTTATATATGTTTGCTTTTATTTACCGTTTAAGTTCAAGTGTTAATAAACCTTTTGGATTAACTTCCATATTTTTAACAGAAAATTTTGCTTTAGGTAAAATACTACCATAAAATCGCCATCGATCACCATTATCTTTTGATTCACATGTAAATGCACTAACTGGTGGATGATGACTTACTTGTTCACTCATATAACGAAATGGTAAATCATCTCTAATAGAAGATAAATAATAGATTTTATTTAATTCAAAAAAAAAGAAATTTTTTTTTTATAACTAACTGAACAAATTCATATGTTTCACCAAGTAATGGATTAAATGGTTTTGATAAACGATCAATATTACTTGATATTGATGATACAGCAAATGCTGCGACATACTTTTTTGTTTTTAATAAAATAAATTTATTAAAATAAAATATGATAAATTTTATCTTAGAAATAAATATACCTGCATTCTCATTATTGGATCGGTACATTCATCGGCTCGATCAAGTAAATAGGAATAGAGAACATTTTCTGCAAAACGTTGAAGAAATGAAATTGGTTCATTCCATACTATCGGCATTGTTATTTTCGATAATTCCTAATAGAATAAAAGAAATAATTTTCTTTTTTAATATTCATATCTAATTATTGACAATCGTATATAATCAAAAGAAAAAAAAATAAACAAAGTTTCGAGATTTAATTCATTCGGTTTATATTGAATGGTTTCACTATTGTTTTTTTATGATAACAAACAAAACAAAAAGAATTCAACTGTGAAATATTATTATTATTATTGGTTTCAATGGGAGTGGTTTACAAATTATTACAAAAAAAAACAATATAGTTGTCTCGCTAAGCTTTAATGAAATTTTCACATAACACTAACAAAAGAACTATATTTAATCGATACACCCTGGTGCAAGTCATTAAAATATCCTAGAATAGTTCAAACTACCAGGTCTTCTTGTTGCTGACATATCAGATTGTTGTCCTGTTGGGCACCATTTTGCGAAGAAAATTATACTTTTAAATTTCGATCTGAAACTGCTTACATTAAAGACTAGAAAACATTTCAGAAGTGTTTTTTGACTAAGTCTCAACTAGATATGAATTTTTCAAAATATATAGGCATTTTATCATTGTTATTGTAACAAAATTAGAATATTTTCCAAAACTCATATCACGAGGAGACTTAATGGTATGATTTTAATTGAAAACTGAAGCCATGTAGAACAAAAATCTGATACTCAGCAACAAATATCTGGCAGCTTGAATCACTCAAGAGTATTTATCCTACTCATTAGGCATCATTGATTGAATGTAGTCCAGGCTTCAAAAGCAATTTATCACTTCAGAGCTTTCTCCCGTAAGCATTTCGTACTGAATAATTTATCAATCTCAAGTTAATTTCAACTTGTTTATCTTAAAAAAAAGATGAAATTTATTCGCTGAAGCCAATATAATGTTAATGATACCATACTATTTGTTTGTTTGTTTTTTTTTATTGCTATTTCTTAACAAAACAAAAGTATAATATTACGTATTCAATGAAAAAATCGATTATCTTGCAAAAAATATTTTATCATAATCAGACTATACTTAGAAAATTTTTTTGCAAAAATTAAATTATTTACTTTTCCAATACATTGCTTAAGTATACTCCAAATACTAATTTGTGATCGATCAAACATTGGCACAGGAAGTTTAGTTCTAAATAAAATAATAGAACAATAAAAAACAAAAGAGTCAATTTTTCCTTGAGAATAGATTATATATTGTTTTTGGTTTTTTATTAACTAATAAATAGAAAATATTAAACATACCTTCTTCCATTGTTCTGTAATTTAAGATATATTTTATCCATATGTATTGAAATAATAATAGAAGTAATTGTGTAAAAGGGCAGAAGAAAAATAAAACAAGAAACTTTCTACAAATTGATTTTATTGTAAATTACATATCATTTATGATCGAATCAAATGTACTTTATCACGGAATATATGTTAAGGTCAAATAAAAATGCACAGATTTACGTGTTCTTATATTTGCTTCTCGTTTGTATGTTTTTTTTGACTTCGAATGACTACAGAATTCATAGATATTTTTTGTTTTTACCGATTTATATTTATTCGAAAGTATAATATATAAAATGAATTTTTTTTTTTGTTATTGAATATTAACACTGATTAAAGAAAAAAACCTAGACGTTTGCTAATTTATATACTCTTCTTTCCTCCTTATTTTGATCACGCCACCTATTCAAGTTTATGTGTTGTATCTAAACAACATCAGAAATAGAGAACAAAAGAATGCGTTAGAGAAAGAGAAAGATAATATATGAAATGATTCGAAAGAAGTGTTACTTGGAAATGTAAGAGAAAAAAAAAATTGTCCTTCAAGTCATTTATACTATGAGATGTAAAGAAGAGAAAGTATAAATTATGTTCTTTGAATTCTACGTACCGACCAAATTGCTGCCGAGAAAAATTATTCCATGTTCGCATTAGGTCTCGTTGAATATCAGTGGTATAATAATCTGTATCTATGAAATAAAAAAAAGAAAGAAATCATTTTTCACTGGTATGTCATATAAAAATT